CAAATTGCATCATGAGCAATAAACTACACAGTAGAGGAAACATCCTTGTAGCTTAAGTGATCCCTTTGTTCAGCCTTATTGAGGTAAAATTGACACAGACAATTGTAAGATATTTAAAGTGTACATCATGCTGATTTGGTGTATGTATTCATTGTGAAGGAATTCCCCCACCTGGTTAATCACCATATTCTATCACCTCACATATTTATTTATTTAACTCCCCCCCCTTTTTTTGGTGAGAACATTTCATTTCTACTCTCTTCGCAAATATCAATTATACAGTACAGTATTATCAACTACAGTCCCCACGTTTTACATTAGATCGTCAGACCTTATTCACCTTATGGCTGCAAGGTGGTACCCTTTTACCAACCTCTCCCTAACCCCCCTCACTCCCTGCCCCCAGAGACCACTTTTCCACTCTGAGTTTGACTTAAACAAACAAACAAAAAAAACAGATTCCACATGAGTGATACTATAGAGTCCATGTCTTCCTCTGACTAATTCCACTTAGTATCATGCCCTCAAGGGCCATCCATGTTGTTGCAAGTGACAGGATTTCCTTCTTTCTTATGGCTGACTAATATTCCACTGTAGATACAGAGACCACATCTTTATTCATTCATCCACTGACGGACACTTAGGTTGTTTCCGTGTCTGGGCTGTCGTGAATAACCCCGCAGTCAACGTGGCAGCACACAGACCTCTTCAAGATCCTGCTTTCCTTTAGATATAAACCCAGAGGTGGGGTTGCTGGGTCTTACGATGCGATTTCTATTTTTAATTTTTTGAGGAACCTCCATGCTGTTGTCCATGGTTGCTGCACCAATTACATTCCCACCAACAGCGCACACAAGTTCTCTTTACTCTCTTGCCAACCTTTATTATCCCTTGTTTTTTTGATAAAAGTCATCCTAACAGGTGTGATATCTCATTGTGGTTTTGATTCTCATTACCCCGATGCCGAGTGACGCTGAGCATCTTTTCAGGTACCTATTGGCCATCTGCATATCCTCTTTGGGAAAACATCTATGCAGTTCCTCTGCCCATTCTTTAATTGGATTGTTTGGTTTTTGGCTATGAATCATGAGAGTTCTTTATATATTTTGGATATTAACCTTTTTATCCAATACATGATTTGCAAATATTTTCTCCCATTCAGTAGGTTGCCTTTTCATTTTGTGGATGGTTTCCTTTGCTGTGCCGAAGCTTTTTCATTTGATGTGGTCCCCCTTGTTTAAGTGATCCTTTTAAAGACGTAAGTCGGATCAAGTCAGGTCTCTGCTCAAACCCCTGTCATCTCTCTTAGAATGGAATATTTTTCAGTCCTCCTTCTGCCCTGCAGCACCCTTTGTAACCTATCCCTCACTCCACCCCCATATTTGTTTTGCTTCACCTCTGCATCACTCTTTCCTTTGTTCGCTCTGCTCCTGCCCAGAGGGCAGCCTAACTGTTTCTGGAACGTGCCAAGTCTGCTCCCACCTGAGGGCTTTTGCTCTTGCAGTTGCCTCCACCTAGAATGCCACCTCCTGGGTCTTCCTGTCACTGCATGTCACTGATTCCTGCTCACCTGGAACTGCCCCAGAGGGCTTTGCCCGTCACCACCTCTCAAGCAGCCCTCTCTTGCCTCCAGCTCTCTCTCTCTCTCCCCTCTAGATTCATCTTCACTGGGCTTATTACCCTGATATATTACATATTTATTTGTTTATGGTCCACCTCCTCCTCTGAGAACACATGGTCCCAGAGAGGGGCCCCGTCAGTGAGGATTACCGCTCACGCTGACGGCCTCCAACAGCGGGTAACATACAGTCAGCGCTCACTAAATACAAGTTGACTACATGAGGGATTTGGCCAGGAAAAAAATTTGTAAATTGCCAGTCTGCTTTCTTCCTGACTGCATTAAGACGTTCAGTGGCCATCTTTCGGACATGCTACCGAAGGGATCCTGTATAAATTAAAAGATGAGTTTATGGGATAACCTGCCATCCCATGTGAGGTTTTCCACACTGCACATTGGAACCCATCGAATACACAGTAAACAATAAAAAAAAAAAAAAAAGGAATAAATGTAAATGACTATTTAAACTAGGGCAGCACAGATTGTCTATAAAGGAGCAGACAATAAATAACTACACTTCGCAGGCCACAGAATCTCTGTCACAACTATTCAGCCCTGCTGTCACAGCATGATGGTGGCCAGACACAATACACAAATGAATCAGCATAGCTGTGTTCTAATAACCCCTTACTTACAGACACTGAAGAATGAATTTTGTAACATTTTCAGGTGTCAAAGAATATTCTTCCTCTTTTAATTTTTTTTTTTCATTGAAACATGTGAAAAATATTCTAGGCTCATGAGCCACATAAAAACAGGCAGGAGGACAGATTTGGTCTCTGACCTGTAGTTTGCTGACCCCTGATTTAAATCATTCCTAAGGGTGGCTTTTTTCTACAGATAAAATACATTCTGGTCCATGAACCTGTTCAATAGTCTACAATTAATTAAGCATGGAACAATCACATTTGTTAAAGAGTAATAAGCTGGATCAAGTTTTTTGGGTGAGCAAACTTTACTAATTCCCTCTTCTACAACTGTTTTCCTACCCAGATTTGGGTCATCTTGAAGCGCAAGCTATGATAGCATTTTTTCCTCAACTAAGTATCTTCATTTTCCATCCTCATGAAGAAATCTCATCCAGCTTCTTCTTCCTTTATAGAAAGGGGAACTGTCACAAAATCTTAGGATAAAAAGAAGAAGGTGGTTTCCCAGGCTCTGGGGCAAGGCAGATTTCCACATAATGTTTTGTGACTAAGTGTACAACGTGTTGCTTACACTTTGCTTTCAAATACTTTCAAACACACCCCGTTGTGTGGGCCCTGGAATGAGAACTATTTGGGTTGCAGGTGCTGCTAGGATCTAGGGTCATCCGTCCCCATGAGCCACAAATTTGCTCAAAAGGACAGGCCGGAAGATGGCATGGCTAAAACATGTTATTTCAACATCTGAAACTAAGGGCGCCTGGGTGGCTCAGTTGGTTAAGCAACTGCCTTCGGCTCAGGTCATGATCCTGGAGTCCCGGAATCGAGTCCCGCATCGGGCTCCCTGCTCGGCAGGGAGTCTACTTCTCCCTCTGACCCTCCTCCCTCTCATGCTCTCTGTCTCTCATTCTCTCTCTCGCAAATAAATACAATCTTAAAATCAACATCTGAAACTAAGATAACACTGGGTGCCAACTCACTGGAATTAAAATAAATACTTAAAAAGAAAAAAAGGAAACGTACACACAAAGTCAATTAAAAATTTTTGAAGAGAAATAATTTTAAAAAATTACAATTTTTTAAAGAGATACATAGGTAAAAACAAGTTATTTCATGACTTGAAGCAGAAGATTTTAAATTTCACTCAATTATCATGACAGTCTCATCTCTCTTACATAATAGCAATATATGAAAATAAGGAATTTGAAGAAGAACTCTTCATACTATCACTTAGAAGAGTCGACCAAACATAGGAAAGAGGTGTAATTTTAACATCAAACATGTCTCTTTGACCCTAGATACACAGGAGAGAACAGGAGCACTTCACTTCAGGTGTCCGGATATTTTAAATACCCTGATGTCGGGTGTCCTGGAAACCCGATCAAGAAAGAATTCAAAAGGAAAGTTCTCCACATTTACGCCCCTCATCTTCTCCGAGCCTAGGAGACATGGAACAAAACCAAACAAAACTCATTATCACCTAATTAACTACAGACTCCACTTGCCCTGCCCCTTTTGAAAACAGATCGATCGAAATGTGACGGGAAAAATTCTAAAGTTCTCTGAAAGACCTCTCGTACTCTGCTTCTTGAAGAATTTGTTTTCCATCAAGTAACAGCAGCCTTCAGACTGACTGGGAAAACCAGGGATGGAATCGGGCTTCAGTTAAATTCCAAGCTGCCAGGGTCAGTCTCCAGAGAAAGCGGACGTGGCTGGAAACCCGGGCATCTCACGTCCATGGTCCAGTCCACGCCACAGACAGCCATCCACAGAGCCATCCCGTCTCCGAAGGAGCTGCCTCCGTTCGGCGGAGCTGGGGCCCATCCACAGAAGGGAAAGCTGAGACATCACATCACAGACAGTGGTAAGAGAAGTGCCTCCGCCTCAGCTCACACTCTTCATTCAGTTTCTGAGGGAGATGAAAATGCTGACAAGGCAAGCGGCTTAAAACAAAAATGGCCAGCAATGAATGACTCTGCCAAGGAATCCCAGTTGTCGTTGCCTGGCAAGCCGGCAAGCATTCAGACAGACATTCTTGCGGGAACACCCAGGGCACCACGAAATCACCCTCTTCCAAACGTCCAGGGAGACGGGGATGTGGACCCCAGGTGAGAGCTGAGACCTGCTGGGACAGCCTTGGGCTTCAGCTTGTGTTTGTTGGCTAGGGCTGCCATAACCAACACCCACAGGCTGCGTGGCTTACACTCGGAGATCTCTAAGTCCGAGATGCTGTCAATGTCAAGGCTTGGCAAAGTTGTTTTTCTCTCTCTCCTTGGCTTATAAATGTTGTCTTCTTGCTGTGTCTTCACATGGTCTTCCCACCGTCTGTATGAGTCCAAATTCCCTCGTCTTATAAGGACACCAGTCATATTGGTTAAGGTCCACCTGAATGACCTCATTTTAACTTCATGGCCTCTTTAAAGATCCTATCTCCAAATACAGAGTCACGTTCTAAGGTCCTGAAGGTTAGGACTTCAATATGAGAATCTTGAGAGGACACAGTTCAGCCCTTGACTCTGTCAGAACAATGGCCATGGCAAAGCTCTATTTGTTTGTTCTTGCCAGTGCCAGGGGCTAGACTTAATAGACAGGGAATTCTCACTCTTTTTGAAAATTAACTACCTTTCCTCATGAAAGAATATTGCATTCGACAATGTCCCAACACCATTCTGATTTTGATGATCAAAAAAGAGCAACATATCATTTTTAATGCCTTTATGAAAGACTTCATTACATACCAAATCCAGTCATAAAGTAGGGGTAGGGGTAAATCCAAAAGATTTCTAAGCACCAGCTGCCAGTCCACATTTTATAAGCAATTTTCACTGCAACAAAGATCCAAACATGGGAAAAAATCAGGACATTCACTTGACATTCATCATAATGAAAGGCAAGTGTAAAAAAAATACATTTTCACTCATTTCACATGTGCCTTTTCACACAGGCATTCACGTCTTTGCATGAAGGATTACCTATTCCTGTGTTAATCTGTACTGCCTGCTCCCGATATCAAAATGGGTTTAAAAAATAACACGGAGATCAAGACTTCCATTCAAACCAGGTGCATGGCCAGGAATATCATTAGCTATATGTAATACTGTAAAGACCTATATCTAAAGAATCACCAAAGCCATTTTTTAAAGAAATACTAAAAACAATATCATTTATATGATTTAATCTCAATTTAAGCCTAACAATTTATGACCTTATAACCTACTTTTATCCTTCAAGTTTGACTATGTTACTCATTAATTCCATAAATGTTTACTGAGATTGTATTATATAGCAGGAAGCATTCTAAGTGCTGGAGACAGATCATTAAATAAACAAAATCCATACCACCTCACACCAGTCAGAATGGCCAAAATTAACTCAGAATGGCTAAAATTAACAGATGTTGGCGAGGATGTGGAGAAAGGGGAACCCTTGTACACTGTTAGTGGGAATGCAAACTGGTGCAGCCACTCTGGAAGGCAGTATGGAGGTTCCTCAAAAAGTTAAAAATAGAGCTACTCTACAACCTGGCAATTGCACTACCGGGTATTTATCCAAAGAATATAAACAGTGATTCGAAGGGACACATGCACCTCAAAGTTTATAGCAGCAATGTCCACAGTAGCCAAAATATGGAAAGAGTCCAGATGTCCACAGACAGATGAATGGATCAAGAAGATGTGGGGTGTATATGTATATATATATACACACACACACACACACTGGAATATTACTTAGCCATCAAAAAGAATGAAATCTTGCCATTTGCAACGACACAGATGGAACTAGAGAGTATTATGCTAAGCGAAATAAGTCATTCAGATAAAGTCAAATACCATATGATTTTACTTATATGTAGAATTTAAGAAATGAAACAGATGAATATAGGGGAAGGGAAGGAAAAATAAAATAAGATGAAAATTGAGAGTATAGAGAGGCAAGGAAGGATAGAAGGAAGGAAAGCAGCTAGGAGATCCCTGGAATAATCCAGACAAGACAGAATGGTGGCTTGGGTCAAGGTGGCAACAATGGATACGTTCTGAAGGCCAAGTCAAGAAGGTTTTCTGATGGACTGGAAAACATGTCCCCATTTCTTCCTTTTCATTGATAATAACTAAGCCCCAGCCCAGACCCTCTCCTCATTCCTAGATGGCTGGGAAAGTTTGGAATTTGCTCTCCCTGTCCTCAGTGCTCCCCCTTCTCTCTCTCTCTCTCTCTTTATCCTACAAACCACAGCAGGACTGGTGTTCAGAACACTCTCCCATCATCACATCCCTTGCTCCCCGTGGGTCTCTCTCCAGAGCACAGAACTGCTCCGAAGCCCTCCTCCTTGTGTGCGTACACTGGCCCAAGACCTCATACATCTTCCCATCTCTCCACCTTGGCTCTCCATTGTCCTAAATCTCAAGACCCAGGCCCTTCAAGGTTCACAGCAGATGCCACCTCCTTTAAAAAGTCTTCCTGAGACGGTCGAGCTCATACTGACTTCTACCCCCTCGGGGTTCCTGAGGCTTTTACCACCAGTACCAACTGTTCCACATCATACTGGCCCAGCTAGACTGGGCATCCCTAGAAAGCAAGGGCCATGCCGTACAATTCTCAGCCCCATGCCACCTACCGTATAGAAAGCAATTATAAAACTTGCTGAAAAGAACATCATAGCAGAGAATGAAAGAACAGGTTTTAATTATCATAAATGTATTTTCAACACTTAAAAAAACTGGGAGCAGTCACATAAAAATCCACATTTCTGCCCTCTCTTGAAATAGTGGAACATCAGGCAACACTGGACCCTCATTCTTGAATAGCCAAGTGGTAACTATGCTCTTTCCCCCCACCCCCTTTATACTCCAGTTCACTTGTTTACTTTTCTGTCAAGTCCTGGTAGGTATTTGAGTTTGTAATCCCCATATTACACACTGGTTACCGTGAGTTCTTAAATTATCAGGTTCTTGTGGGAACTAAGTATTTATTGAAGGTTATATCGGTTTTTCTCTTTCATGATATCCAGTGTCATAGTTATTGTTTCAGACTTTTCTATATTATAAACATAATCAATTGCATACAAACATCACATACATATACAAATATAGACCTACATATGTATTTTGGAAACTGTCTCCTTAATCTCCCTAATAGATTACAATTCCTACACTATGGTTCAAAGTACTTTAAAACATGGGGATTATATTTCCTGGCATGACTTGGCATAAGAGGGACAGATATCAGTACATAATCTATACAAAAAGAAAGGAAGACAAGGCGAAAATAAATATTACTGACCCTGATGAGCTATTCATCAAACCATTTTAGGAAAAAAGAAGTTACTAAAATTCTTCTGAATCTAGAAAAAATACATGGCTCTGTTGATTTTTTTAAAAATGAAACATCAAGCATTAGAGATTGAAATACATATAGATAAGGGGTATTACCATGGGCTTATTCTCCAGAGTACCACTGCCTACATTCTTAAAAAAAAAAAAAAAAAAAAAATTGTCATCTTCCTAATTATTATTAAATTTCAGCAAACTGGAACCAAAGGAGGCAAATCACACCCTAGAGAAACAAATCAATCAGTTTTCAGACAAGCCTATCAAGAGCTGAAAACTTGGGCGCCTGGGTGGCTCAGTTGGTTAAGCGACTGCCTTCGGCTCAGGTCATGATCCTGGAGTCCCGGGATCGAGTCCTGCATCGGGCTCCCTGCTCGGCAGGGAGTCTGCTTCTCCCTCTGACCCTCCCCCCTCTCATGTACTCTCTCTCATTCTCGCTCTCTCAAATAAATAAATAAATCTTTAAAAAAAAACAAAAGAGCTGAAAACTTAAGCAGTAATCGGGGTGCCTGCGTGGCTCAGTCAGTTAAGCGTCAGCCTCAGGTCAGGATCTCAGGATCTCAGCGTCCTGGGATCAAGCCTGGAATAAGGCTCCTTGGCCAGCGGGGAGCCTGCTTCTCCCTCTCCCTCTGCCCCTCCCCACTGCTTGTGCACTCTCAAGCTCTCTCTCAAATAAATAAAATCTTAAAAAAAAAAAAAAAACCTTAAGCAGTAATTATTACTGGAAGAGTTTAAAGGAGTCATCTCCTTTGACCTATGGCCCGTGTCTAGGGGTTTTAATTAAGAGAAAAGCAAATCTAGACTCAGAAGTCCAAAGATATTTAAAAGGCACACTGGCTTTATCTATGCATCAGTCATTACTTCTACTCCAAGCAGGCGTGCCTTTCTTAGCAAACAGCTTTCCTATTAGCAATCGGATTTGAGAGACTTTCATGACCACCTCCAGCCTTGTGGTCTGAAAAGCAAACAGAATTCAGTCCAAAGCCCATATTTAAAGCAAACAAACTGAGCATGAAGGTACACTTTCAGACACAAGATGGGATTCTTGTCCTTCAAATTACCTTTGGTAAATATCTTTCTCCTTTCTCTTGCTCAACTCAGTGTTTTAACTAATAAGCTTTCAAGGGAATGTTTGCCGGCTTAGCACATACTTTACCACTTTTCCCACAAAGATCACCCCCTTCCTCGGCATGCAAAGAGGACAAGAAACTCTAACAAATGAATATTAGAGAAAAATGTATTGTGTTTTTAAAAACAGTAGGAAAAAAAAATAAAAAATAAAAACACTTAGTAGGGTTTTATAAACTACATTCAAACACAATGAAGGAAAATGGTCCGTGACCAAACTTCCCAGTTAGCTCCTGATTCTTTTTTAAAAGGAAGGAAAATGAATAAATAAACATGGTGAGAAAACTCAAGTACGTAAAAGAAAGAAAATGAAAAATTTTCCAGTGTATTAACATTCATATCTTTTTAGAGAAAAAAGTATATGTGCCAGCATATATATCTTTTTAAAAAGATTTAGACAAAAGAGAATGGTATTCATATGATTCTGCAAAACGTTTTCTCATTTTATACAGATACATGAACATATGTATACATAAGTATGTGTGTGTACATATATATTATTATATTATATATTATATTTTATATATATAAAATTATTTCAAATCAGCATACATACTTCATTCTATAAACATGCTATATTGTAACTTGTACAAATATCTTGGCATAGTTGTAAGTGAGCCTATTTATAAAATTGCTGGTGATTTTAAATTTCGAAATATATTGCCAAATTGCTCTTCACTGGTATCTATTTTAGAAGATAATTTAATCTCAAACCGTAGTCCCTTTTTTGCATGGTTATGGGTATCAAAACTGACCTGCTTTGTCTCAAACTGAATCACAGGTCAGACAACCAATCCATCGCAGACTAAGCCAAGTTCTTCTAGACAACAGAGATTACATGAACCAAACCAGAAACATCTCATAGCAAAGATGAAGGTTGGGGATTACAGCTTCGTAAAGGCTCTGTGTGGCTGACCTTTTTCTTTCTATATTCTTTGTCTAAGACACAAGCTCAGGAAAAGAAAGGGGCTAAGGTTGGGGATTAACATCTCATAGGTACTTGTCTTATCCCTTTGGGCTGCCAAAACAAAATACCACAGACTGGATGGCTTATAAATAACAGAGATCATTATTATTATTATTATTATTATTATATTTCTCACAGTTCTGGAGGCTGGGAAGTCCCAGAATATGGTGTCAGCACAGTTGCCTTCTGGTGAGGGCCCTCTTCCTGGTTCATAGTTGGCCTTCTCACTGCGTCTTCACCGGGTCAGGAGGGCTAGGGATCTCTCTGGAACCTTTTTTGTAAGGCACTAATTCCATTCATGAGGGCTCTACTCTTCTGACTTAAGTACCTCCCAAAGTCAACCCCTCTTCATACCATCATCTTTGGAAGTCAGGATTTCAACATATGAATGGGGGGGGGGTAAGAG